GAAGACTCAATTCAGGCCTTAACCTGTTCCACTCTGAGCCTGTTTTTCAGGTCTCAGGCTCGAAAATGACATTCCCAGAACAAATGACCATATCTTCCCTTCTAAAAGGGTTAAATTAATAATCTTTGTTCTCAAAGTAATGATAAACCTGTGAGTTGGATGTAGAAGTGTCAGAATCAATATAAATGTTTTTTATTTTAAAGAAAATTCAGATTTTACATAGTAAAAAACTGTAAATTATAGTGTCCGTCCAAAAATTATTTTTTACAGATAGTGAAAACTACCCTTGGATGATGGGTTAGTAGACTAAAAGCTTTAGGAATCCAAAGTACAACATATAATAAGTACCCTGTATCAAGATTGATGCAAAACAAGTGAAATTTGACCTTTTTAGAGAGATTTAGCCAAAAACTGGGCCATCTGGGGTCATTTGGGTGGATTTGACCTATCTCTGGCCCCCCTTGCTCGATTTGGTTGGTTGACATACCCTTGTGACCGTTAGAGCCAATAGAATCGAAGGGGGAGGCTCCCACCCAGACAGGTTGTAAAGAAAAAATGTGGTTGCTTCGCGTGTGGAAAACGAAACCAAAGTAGAGGAATGTCTCCTTCTGGAGTTTGGAAACTAAAACGCAGTTGTATTGCTTATGGATTATCAGAAATAATTTCAAAGAAGGCACAGACACATAGGATGAACCTATGGATTAACTGCAGCATCGTTTTTTTATCGTTTTAATGCCATTGAAGACCACTTTTGACCAAGGTAAGCCATATTTACTGTTTAGCTTCTTAGCTCCACATGTGATGATGTACGCTTTCGTTTAGAGCGTCGCGAATGTTTATCACTGAGTGTTGAGGAGGGCACCGTTAGATTCAGTGTCTCCAGGACACCAAAAAAGAGTGTTTGGTTGTGCATCTAGGATAAGTAATAAGGGAGTTCTGAGTGAGTTTATGTGCCTTTGTAGGTTACGTTTTTTCGTCGAGGCTAATTCAGAGGCTGAGTGCTAGCATTGTGGGGTTTTTTTGAAAAAAAAAATTAAAAAGATCAGTTAGCTGAGTTTCTTCCCGTTACATGGATATAACACATTCATAGTTTTATTCAATATTAAGATTCCTTAGACGTTGTTTCCTGCAAATGACGCGTTTATCCGCCCGGTACCGGGGGGAAGGTGTGAAACAGGTTAAAGAACGCTTTACAAACAAATCAGGGAGAGTTAAATGTGGAGCTATGTTGCTCATGTGGGAGCTTACACTTTTGGGAAGAGATCTCCCCCTTTCTCTACTCCTGAGGTACTGCAGATTCACAGCAGCACAAAGGGTCAGAGACAGGCATGACCTCTAGAGAGGAAGATCTGGAGATTGTAAGGAACTCTCCCTAACTACCCACCCCCACCCAATCACGAGGGCAAGAGTGTGCCTCTCACCAATAAACAAATCATCTCTTAACCAAGTCAGATTTCAAAGTAGCCATAGCTCCAGTTGTTAAGAAAAGAGGGAGATTCAAAAAGTTATCAATAAATTGCCCAGTATATTAAATAAATACAAACAGACACGTATCAATATAAGTCAGATAATGTAGACGAGGTCAATCATGGAAGAAGGCTGACATTTAATGCCTGATATATAAGTAATAGTAATAATAAATATATAGCTGATATTAAATAACTGATGTATAAGGCTCGATATTTCTGAAAATAGGAACACCGTTAACGGCGTTCTATTTCAGTAAAAGGGGGAAAAGGATAGGATATACATCAGACAATATGTATGTGAGATTATTACGTTTTTAGGAGAAATTTATCAATTTAAAATACTAGTTATGGTATTTTTTGTTTTGTTTTATTTGTTGCTTTTAAGAGAAATTGATACATTTAAAATAATCTAGCTTTGGTTATTTTTTGTTTTGTTAGTTTGTTCCTTTTTTGTTTTATTTTTATTTTTGTTCTATTTTTATTTTTTATTTTTTATTTTTTATTTTTTATTTTTTTTATTTTTTATTTTTATTTTTTGTTTATTATTTTCTGCATAGTCTCTTGTCCACACTCCAGTCTAGTTGGTGCCGCCAATAAACACTAAAGAAGTAGAAAAGATGATTTCAAAACCATATTTCCAGCAACTTAAGGGCTTGGTATGAGACTTCTCCACACAGGCTGCTGACGCTAAAAGGGGGACCCGAGAAACACAAGGCCAACACAGCAGATTACGTCTGGTTGGAGGGGACCTCCCATGCCGTTCGCCTAGATGGAAAGGGAGACAACTGGTACCACTGGAGCCATTGTGCGGTCGGGAAAAACAGCTGCGAGGACCCTAGACGACATCAGGACAGAGTTGGCCCTCGTCGCGAGGACCCTAGACGACATCAGAACAGATCTGGCTCTCGTCAAGGCAGTCGACCCAGGAGGCGCCATCAGCGGGCCGGAGGAGGAGGATCGGGACATCTCTCCAGCATCGACCCGGAAGCCGCCATCAGCGGGCCGGGGGAGGACAATCAGGCCACATCTCTCTAGCAGGCACCCCAGAAGCCGCCGTCAGCGGGCTGGGGGGACGAAGACATGGCAAACCAAGACGGCACAGGGAACTCCATTTCCCGCTGAAACAGGTTGATATAGCCGGTGTGGAACTTTGTCTGAACAATCCATTTTTCGGAGGAACTTTCAACTTTATTTTTATATCCCACAATTTAAGGGATTGGTATTTTTTATTCTACAGAACTATGTGTTACCAAAAGAGGGAAAAGTATGATAATGTCTTTTCTAATTTCTGTGGCTACTTTTATTGCCATTTTAGTGACATGTGGTTGTTGTTGTGTGCCTTGTATCTGCTCATTAGACTCATCAGTTCCACCATTGAGGGTAGAGTAAAGATGACTCAGCTGACAAGGACTTTGCTTTTTAGACATATTTTATTCTCCCTCCACTGTCATAAGTTGTTGTTGTGGACTGTTCCTAAAGGTTTAAAGTGCTCTATATCCCAACTTCTGATGGGTTTATATAAATGTTGGGACAGACACAGTAAGAAGAAAATTGACAGTGGTAATGTTTCAAATGCTATATGTTGATCTCGTGAGGTGAGATCAAAAGAGGGATTGAAGTAAAAAGATATGATTCTACACTGTATTGAAGTAAACATGTATTGTTTGAACTGTTTTAGGTAATCACAAACGGGTTTTGATAAGTCACTTAGAATAGGAATGTTATTCTTACTTTCAAACTCACTGATCCAGAGATTCTGTGTTTCAACACACCAACATCCTTCTTATCATCCATAAAAGCCAGATGCGGTCATTAAGTCGTTAAAAGACATCGTTAAATAGGTGGAGAAGAGTTTAAATGTCTGAAGGAGGATAGTTTAGGTGAAAATATCCCCTGGGAAAGGAATGTAGAGTAAGATAAGGTAAAGATAAACATTGACTTTTGACCTGGGGTGGCTTGGGATCTCATTCTCTGGTCAGACCTCTGATTGAACCCGGCCAGAAGCGAATCCAGCCAGTCAGGGCACTTGGGGGAGGTGGTCAGTTTAAACAGCTCCTCCCCAGGGGCTCTCTGATTCGCTTGGGAGTAAAGTGGGAAGGAAGAGATGACCCATCTCCGCCCCAAGGACAGATATGAATACTGATGTTTGTGTGTGTAAAAATGCTTTTGGGTTTGGTGAGTTGGCAGGTCCTGATAACTGTATCCGCATCGCATCACAAACCTGAAGTCCAATTTCTTTTTGGTTTGATGAGTGGTTTGATCCTGACGCATTTATCCGCATCGCATCACAAACCTGAAAGTCCGGAGTGCTCGAGTACTCTGTATAACTTGTATATGTGTTTGGTTTCCTACTAGAAGTAAACTCAGATAATTTGTTATAACTTTGATTCCGGTGTTTTCAATTCCTTTCTTAATTTAATAGAGATCCAGCCTCATCCAACGAACGGCGCGGAGAGTGGGGCTATTCAGCCACCAGAAAAGTGTTCTACTCCAACAACAGGTGCGTGGTTCTCACTGCGCTTCATACCGGTGCAACTTTGAACACCTTCAATATATGCCGCATTAATTGATTTGGCCTGCAGTCACCGCATCTGGGCTGAATTAAACACGTATTATTTTAGTCCTGTGTGTTTATTAGAGGCCATGTCAGCAGGCCACATCACATCATGCCAGCGTTGCGTTCACAAGACATACAAGCCACAAACTGGCAATCGAAACATGCTACAACCTGAGGGACATTGAATGAGACACACAGACACACCCACACACACCTTGAGGGAGGGAGGGCGATCAGCTGTTCCCGAGCAGAGAGAGAGAGAGAGAGAGCTGCTAGACACAACTCTTATAGGCTCTGTGCACAAGATGGCGTCTAGCAACTTCCGGCGGGTGGGTGTGGGGGCGAGTACTTCCGGTTTGAGTACAGAGTTTTTACAGCTTGACAGTTTGACAGTTTGACAGTTTCTTATGACACACCAAGAGCAAGAATGAGCGGATTTCGGGGTAAAGAAAAGCGATTGGCCTTCCAGCGGGTAAGAAAGTCGGCACTACATTGCTGTGTGCCACTGTGTACGAATTCGGCCCGTTATAATCGGGAGATAAGTTTTCATGCATTTCCCATTGATGCTGAGGTAAAGGCTCAGTGGCTGATCAAGGTCCGTAGGGACAATTTCAGCCCCACAAAAAATACCCGTGTGTGCAGTAGGCATTTTCGACCAGGAGACTTATTGGTCACAGCGGGAGGACTGCACAGAGTACAGAAAGGAGCTACACCTGTTCTCTTTGCATGGAATAACTACGAGCTACCTACACCAAGACGTAATGTTTGGGAGCGTCGGCCGAGGGCAGAGAGCCCCACCCCGGACTTGACAGCTGAGTACGAGGTGGAAACAGTTGCGCTGCCTGATCATGAGTACTGTTTAAATCCAGCGACGGCAGTGATGGCAAATCAGGTGGCCGACGAGAACGAAGCCTTGAAAATGCAGGTTAGGGAGCTCCAACACCAGCTGGAAGTGTTACAACTGCGATCTCATTTCGGGATACAACGCCTGGCAGGGTCGGACGAGGACATTCGTTTCTACACCAGGTTTGTTTATAAGGCTATCAGGATGTTGTTATGGCCACTAGTTTGAAAAACACCTTTCATTTGGGGAAGCTAATTTAAGAAACAAAACAATGTCTAACATGAACAATATTACATTCTTAGATTTGCCACATACAAGCATTTCCTTGCCTTTTGGAAATTGGTGGAGCCAGCAGCCAACACCAAGATGGTGCGGATCACCAACGCCAAGGCATCCTCTGCCAGCAGCTCGGATTCCTCTCAACCAACAACAACGGTATGCAGCATACAAGCATGGATGTATATTAATAATTATGCACGCTGCGCACTATACCACCGTTTAACAAGTGCATCACATCACTCACACAACACACACACATTCCACACACACACACACACACACACACACACACACACACACACACACACACACACACACACACACACGGAAAATGTGTTACAACTGTACCCGGTCTCCCTATAACAGTATCTACAGTATGCCTAACACTTATTTGTTTTCACAGAAACTTCCACCCATAGATGAGCTGCTGCTGTTCCTCATGCACCTGTCAGTGGGCCTACATCTGAGGGATCTAGCAGAACGGTTTGGCATTCACGGCACCAGTCAGCAGAATTATTTCCACCTGGACACACTTCCTGTACCAACTGCTTGGAAGCCAACGTCTGTGGATCCCACGCAAAGTTGTCAGAGCTCACCTTCCACCAGAGTTTTCAGCTTTCCCTGACACACAAGTGGTGCTTGACTGCACTGAAGTATTCTGCCAGACTCCATCATCTCTCCTGCTGCAGAGTGAGGTGTTTTCAACATACAAGTCTCATGCTACATTCAAGGCCATGATCGGCATGGCACCACATGGTGCCATTACATTTGTGTCTGGCCTGTATGCAGGATCTATGAGTGACCGGGAGATTTTCAAGCTGTCTGGCATCGTGAGCCTGCTCACACCAGACATGGCAATAATGGTCGACAAAGGGTTCCTTGTGGACAATCTGGTTGAGTGCAAAGTTTACCGGCCTGCCTTTCTGTCAAAAAAACCCCAAATGAGCAGGGAGGATGTCAGGCAGACTCAATCCATTGCACGTCTGAGGGTCCATGTGGAGAGGTGCATCAGAAGGGTCAAAGAGAACAAACTCTTTGACAAAGCCATACCACTGTCTGTGTGTGGAAGCATTGAGGAGCTTTTCAATGTGGCTTGCTTCCTGGTCAACTACCAGAACGGACCACTGGTGAAAGCATGGGCAAGCCTGGGCAGCAATGATTAAAAGATTTCTTGCTCCCAAACCAATTGTGTATTTCATTGTGGTCGTTACAAAAAGCAGTCATACCATACTATGTTTAGGTACTAATGAATTATAACCTCAAAACAAATGCACACAAAAATAACATAGGACAATACATAATATAATAAATCCACAATATGATAACATTTTACAGATTCATTTAATACACTTTTACAAAACATAGGTTGATGTTATATCGGGGGAAAAAAATACATATTTAAACATTTCAATTAGTCTCTGCATATTTAAGTAATGCTAGTTTATGTAACAGATGAACAGATCAATGCAAGATAAGTTAGTTAGCATCCACAACTTTTGTTAATGAATAACGTCATATGACATTAAATGTCTGCCAATAAACACCCCTTTCTTCCTCACATAGGTCCTTTGACTAAAGGATCTTTTTGACTTATAGAACACACATGGTTCTGGTTTTAGCAATTGAAAGAACTATATACAGGAAAATATTCATGTTAGATCAGTAATGTAGTGTGATGTAGTGTGGTACACTAATGTAGTGTAGTGCATATCAGTCCATGTAAAAATAAAAATAAAAATAATCTCCCTTCTCCCTAATGGTTGTAGCCACCTCGCAGTCTCTGCAGATACGCTGTATAAGGATATCCTCCTCTGCAAAAACGACGAAATCGCACCACTCCATCCCTGTGAGTAGGAGCTGGCCTTGCACCTGCCAATAGTAGCTATGAGACTGCTTCAGTTTTAATGTGCCACTTTGCATTTTTAAGTAGCTACAGTCCACATAACTTTTTGCATTTGGGCATTTTATTTCAACAAGTCCAAAAGGTGGGCTCTCAGTTGGGTCAAACACCAGACCGTCAGGAGATGACCCTAACCAGGGGGCATCTGGGTGAATGACAAACCCACACGGCCAGTAATTGGTGTTTTTAATCCGGCAGTATTCCTGGATGGCAACCGGTTCCAGTGCCAGTCCCCTCTTCATTGATGCCGTTTGCGCCACTCCCTTCCGAATCCGTTGTGCCAAGTTTTCAGCCGAACTCTGACCTCGAACATGGCATACTTCCCTGAAACGGGAAGAAGTTATTCTTGGCCTCCTAACACGGTGCCATTCCACACTGTCGCTCTGCTCCCTTGTGGCCACCTCGATTTTCCTTGCCATGAGCAATGTTGTCGCAAGTGACAGTAGATGGAGGTGCTGTTGGTGACTGCACACAAACTCACAGGTGGTAGGCTCCAGCCTATAGCCATCCACAGGTAGAGGTGGTGGTGGAGGTGCATCTGGGTGACGCACTATAACCCGGCTAAGAGGTAGTGGATGCTGGTATGAGATAGGGCTACCTTCCTGAACTTTTCCAAAGGTGGAGTTAACCAGTGGCACGTCCACACTTATAGCCATGGTGGTGATCAGTGGTGCGATGTCTGCTGAGAAGTCCTTGTATACCTCGCTGACTTTGAGGACATCTGGGTCTGGCAGCTCCCCCCGCACGGCCTTGTAACGTGTACTCCTTTGAACATGTTTATATAATAATTAGGACTTTAAGAACAATTTTACACTCAGACAACAATCACAAAGTTGTTGCAGGCTACATACAATTACTTAGGACAATAGATATTACCTTACACCGTCAGCAACTGTAAACTGCTTTGGCTTAGTGGAAATGAACAATTTTTTATTATCTTATTATTATTATTATCTCTCTCTCTATCTCTCTATCTATATCTCTATCTATCTCTCTATCGCTATATATTGTATATCGCTTCGCTATCTACCCGCTCTACCGTAGACCGGATGTTTACAAGCGCCCACTCAATGAACCGGAAATGGAAATACGTCATCCCGTGCAACTAGCCTATTAATCCCCGTACCGGACAATTGTTATTTGTTCCAAATCGGAACCGGATTTCGCAGGGGCGTCGCCTGGACCTGAAAACATTCGGGGCTTAGCCCACAGTGCCGGCGGCACTAAAGTGGCATTTTTTACTGCAACACTCCCCACACGCACACACACAGTACACCCGCGACTGTTACAATGAAGGCTCGATAATCAGCTCACGGCATATAGGCAGGGGTAAAGTGGTATTTTTTATGAGTGGGGGGCTCACCTCCTCGTGGGGGGTCCGGGGGGATGCTCCCCCGGGAAGATTTTTTTTTTAAATATTGAAGTTAAATGCATCAATCTGGTGCACTTTGAGAGCAAAATGAAGAGATCTATGGATACCTCTCTCAACACCCATATGAAGCAGAACTGTAAACAGATGTACTTTTTCTTTATGGATATTTTACTAATCACTCCCCTTTTAAACTCTATTCTTGTTTTACTGCCATATAGTATTTCATAACTGTTTTTCCTTTATTCTCTTTTTTTTAATAACTATAATGATCATATGAAGGTGTGCCGCGGAAATAATCTTTTGAATAATTTGTGACCAAACCGTTTGAGACCCACTGAGATAACTTAGACTAAAGTTAACTATCTAAACACTCAGAGAGTCCTTTAGCTCACCTGAGTCTCTCAGTCTGAGAGGAGAGGACTCTCCTCCAGCTTGTTGTGGAACAAACAGCTCCTTATGTCCGTTAGTGCAGCTAGCTAACCAGATGCTAACAACACGGTCCATGCTGACACCGGTCTCTCCCTCCCCCTCTCTCCCTCTCTCCCCCTCTCTCTCTCTCTCACATGCGCTATTGCCACACACACACACAGAGCCGAGCTTGAATGACACACGTTTATTTCCATGCAACTCTCTGATTGGTCTGGTGTCATGCCTCTGTTGCATTCACTGAACACGGGAAATTACAGTGCTGCCGTCCTCTCTTGTGTCATGATGAGGTTCACGTAAAGCACGGTTATTGTATTATATTATTGAGGGAGAATTGTCCGGGGCTACAGAAAAAACATTCGGGGCTAAAGCCCCGGATGCCCAGGCCAGGCGACGCCACTGGGATTTCGGTTCCCGACCCTCATCACATCCCCAGCCACAGCCGTGGTCTTAACCGGTCTTGACATAAAATCTCGAGTCCTATAGGTCCGATACAGAGACAATACGAAACCAAATGCAGTCGATTCCGAGACCAATACCGTTAAAAAGTGGTCTGGAGACCGGTCTCGAGTACAACACCAGCAAATATTCTCATACTAATGATTATTAATTATTATTCCCCTCTCTTCTGATACCAATACTGTGCCGATGAGAAAGTGTAGGCTACCTGTAACACTCTCCAAACTACTGTAGGAGCGGAATCATTCGAAAAATCTAATATAGGATAATGCTATACAATGCTAACGGAGGCGACACGTACGTTATTCACGCGCTTATCCACACGTACGTTATCAACACGCATATCTAAGATAGTGCTTTCTAAGCTACGCCGCCGCTACGTGAGCGCGTACTTTGAGCGCATCTATGGTACGTCGCCGTGACGTCTGACATCGTCGTGACGTCGCCTTTATTCTACGTTAACCCATTCAAAATTGATGGAGGCGTTGGCGCACGTTGACACGTCAGTTCTCCGCTCAGTTAGCTTAGTTATCTGTTCTTTGGCACAAATCACACCTCATAGATGTAGTGGCCGAAAGAGTTCCCTCTGCCGCTGTTGCTGCTGCTGCTGTCGGTCACTGCCTGCTCCGGGGCTTCCTCCATCTTCACTCACTTTATAGAAAGATAAACTATCAAGAAAGCTGAACTGTTATGAGATACTTTTTTTGTCAACATTCACCAACGTTCGGCCGTTATGCTTCAAAACAGAGTAACCATGGCAATATAATGCGTTCTAAATTCGACATTATCAACTGTTTTGGTTAAGATTATTTATTTCTCCCTCATTGCACTTTCCTAGTTGTTTAAATATGCGTCTATATTTTTAGTTGTTATCAACTCTCTTCCGTCTTTTGTTATTGAAACAAAATGAAAACCTAATTTTGCTAAAGATAAATAAATATGAATCTAAGGCTAAGAATTCAGGCAAATATACAGCACAATTCAGGAGCTGACATCAACAAAGTGTATCATTATAAAAAAATGCAAATAAAATGAAGGGATGAAATTACCTATTTAAAATATTTATTAGTAGAGCTGAAAAAAAGAGGAAATATTATACTTTTCTTTATAATTAAAAAAAAACAATGCGAATAGAGACAAATATGTTTTTTATATTATTTATTCAACATTTCTATATTATGTTACTTTTCTGGTAGCTTTAGTTATTTTTCAGATTACACATTTTTCATACCCTTCCTTTCCAGTTCAAATCAGTCAACAAGTTAAAAGTACCAGGAGCCTGGGGAGCAGTGGGGGCCAAGTGCCTTGCTCAATGGCCCCTGGCAGTGCCCAGGAGGGAACTGAAACCTCACGAAGTACCAAGTTAGAAATCAAATCTCTACAATAATGCATTGCTGTAAGTTAAACAAAATGATATAAAGCCTTAACTATTTATGTTCAATGAATGGGGGAAAAACACGAGACAGAACACACACCTCCTCTCTCCGTCTTTATTCATATATCAGCATATAGTCCACTGTACAGCGAGGGCTGCAGCCCCTCAGCACGGACTGCAGGTCTAACACGATTCTGCCCACCAACACGCTTTAAACTGCTTTATACCCAGAGAAGCAAAGTTCCATTAACATACCAAACACAATGCTTTCAGTTACGTACATGGAAGAGGTGGGACAATTCACAAAAGAGCATGATTCCAGTATGTTGAAGAATCTCCAAATCAAATATAAATACAAGTTCCACATTATTATTATTATTTTCTTATACTAACCACTGAGATGTGTCCTCATTTAGATGATTGTTTGATTCAGCTGCTATCATACTTACATAACTGTATTTGTGAACAAGAGAGAAACAGAAGTGTTGATATATTATACAGACATAACACCACTGTTATTGCAAATGGTGTTTTTTTTTTTAGGCTTTACAATTCTCTTTTAACACTGCAATAAGGGGACCAAGCAAATGTACACAAGGATTTGTTTTGTTTTCTTCTTTTTTTTTTTTAATGCATCTATTGTTGCAGACTGCATGGTGAATATTTAGTGATGTGTTTGTGTGTCTTGTCGTGCCATCAGTCCATATACATCGGTGAGCTGGGAGACGTCGGCATCTGATCCATGAGCCGGCACACGTAACTCGCCACGTCCACCGAGCGCTCCTCGTACATCTGGATGAACGGATCTTTCTGCAGTGGACAGGGAAACAAGAGGAGATATAGATAAATACCACCTCCTACAAAACATAAAATTAAAATAACGACCACCAGGGTTTGTATTTATTCAGAGTAAATTCAAACACTTTCAAGCTTACTTAACCAAACATATCCAGATTCTTGAAGTCTTTAATTTAATGAATTAGTTGCATTATTAGATGAATTATTAATGTACTTATTAATTTGAGAGTCAAATATAAATGATCAATATAAATGTATTTGCAATTGTCCAGATTCTTGGAGTATACATTAATTGTAATTGATAATATTTTTAAATATTTTCTATATTTGATTTTCCATGTTTATTCCAACTTAATGTATTATTTTGTTTTGTTATTTGAAAGGCACATTCAAATTGTTTATATAAATGTATTTTCAATTGTTTTCAGCACCCTTCTTTACCTACAGCGGTCAATATATAATATCACTTAGTTTTTTTTTATTATCAGCTGTTCATATTGACTTTGATTGTATGATTTAAAAATTATTTTTAAAATGTTGCTGAGTTGCCAAAGATAACAAATAGATATTATACTAGTGATTGTGAAACACCAGATTTTGTTGAACTTCAAGAATTGTTCAGGGTGTTTGCTAGAATTAAAGCATATTTCAAACCTTAACACCTTCAAGTTACGTTTTTTCCACATTTATAAGACTATTCACAAAACACTGCCTGGTTTTAACAGAGTAAAATACATTTCTAAACCTTTTTCTAGAACTTCATGAATGTATACAGAACTTACCAGTAGCTCTTTGTACTTTGGCCTTTTTGACTCGTCCTTTGTAAGGCTAGAGGAAGGACGAAAAATATAAAAAGTGTTAAAAGGAAGAGGGTGCAGTTCAGTAATTTGTCCACCAGCAGGACAGAGGATACAGCTGGAGTCTAAACAGGTTCAATACCCTGACATTAAAACATCATTTCAATTCCAAACATTATTTTTCAATTTGTACAACTGTAACATATTCAGGTCTGCACCGAATGACTTATTTTGTTCCATTTAGAAATGCTAATAAGGTTTTCAAATAAAGCTTTGAATGTATGTCATAAAAGCTTCTAACTCTCCAGTACAGACCAAAACAGATTTGTGCAAAATGTGTTCCCAGCAGTGTTTCCTCACCACACGTTGACAAAGGAGATGAATTTGGGAGAGAAGCGCCTCTCCTCAGAGTTGCAGAGCTGTGGGGGGTCCCCCCTCACCACCTGGGTCAGCTGGTCAAACACACTGTTCCACTTCGGGTAGGGGAACCTGCCTGTGGCCAGCTCGTACTGAAACACAACATAGCCATTACACATGGTATACAAGAAAACTGGAGATACAAAGCAGGTGTAAAATAATAATGGTTGGTTCTTGACAGGAAGACAACCTTTGAAGTTATTCCAAAACTCCTTTAATTGTACACTATAACAGAAACATTTCCTGCTTTTTCACTATTAGAGCCCCTACTTCCTTCTAATATGTAAACTCTAGCATACAGTTATGTTACTTTACTATAGTACTTGATTATAATGAAAACAGTATATAAATTGATGAATGTTGTTTACAATGATATGAAACTAGTTAATGCATTGTGTACTTTAAATAAAGTAAATACAGAGCAATTAGGACATGTACACAGTTTTGCTCAATCTTAATTAATCGTTTAGGAGTAATGGGTATCCAAGTGTATGAGGCACCTTAGATGGTAGAGCTTAAAGCAATTTTTATTATTTTTCTATCTTATTTATTTATGATTTGACTCCATTGTGAAGTGAAGACTCACCAGTGTGATTCCCAAACTCCAGACGTCCGAGCGGACGTCGTAGCCCTGCCTGGACGCACTGGGGTCTATTCGCTCGGGCTGAAAACCAAACAGGAAACAGATGACACTTTAACCAACATGCTTAGGCTTAAATCCCCATGTACAAATGTTGAAATTATGCTTCAGGTTGTTACTTAATTTTGTATTCTCCTTTATTTTTTCCTACTGTTTGATATGTGTGAATGCACCAACAGTACAACATGTCAATAAACTTTGTGCAATAACAAAAACAATGTCTATTCTATATTTAGGCTTTTTGTACATCACATGTACATGAAGTAATATCCTACTGTAAAAGGTATTTTTACGGCACATACAGTATATTAGATAACTGGTGATGTGAAGTGCTGCTGTACGTTTAGCAAACCACCAGATGTCACTGTGTGTTGAATTTAAAGCCTCAAATACTTTCTCAGCATTAAACGTAGGGTAGGTAAGAATGGAGAAACCAGCTCGAGTGCGCTAGAATTTGAAAGTACACAACCGGAAAAAATCTGCCTCTTCCTTCAGACTTCCTTACAGAGCCCCTCCTCCAACACACACGAACATGACCAATGAGGGCACGAGATAAGTTTGTGCTCGAGATGGAAGGCTGACAGGCAGGTAGGCCATCCAGATATTTGTTAGATATTTTTATGTATTTATTGTCAAAGCATTTAATATATTCATTGCTATCGGGATGTTAAGAGCATTCCATGGAATATAACAAAAAGTGTTTCTGAAGTGAATTACCTACCCCACCTTTAACAGAAACCTCCACATCTTTTCATCCTTAAAAAAAAGGGAAGTATAAAGCTGAACGTAAACAACCTCATGAGGTATGATATGTTGTTAATAAGATTAGGGGTTTTGTGATGTGAAAAGTGTTGCATTTCAAAGCCCATGAGGATATGTATGTACATTGTTATGTAGATAAACAAACTCAGTGCTTAAAACCAGTAAAAATAAAACTGAATAAAGCAGTTTCACTCAAGAAATCTGTGTTTTTCTGAAATTCGCTCAGCTTGTTTCTCCAATTACTCAAAATCCAAATGCCCGTGACAAAAATCCTTCATCTAGTAAAGAAAAAGATTCAAAAATCATATAAAAAGGGAAAACTAGATAGAAAGTTAGTCTACGTGAGCTGTGGCAGACAATGTTGTCGCATGCTCGAAAGAGAAACGACGCCATCACAGGATAACAAATTAAACGTACCAATACCTTGATTATAATTACGGATTTCTCTGGGTTAAAAAAATGCTGAAATATTTCGGATATTTTAGGTACATCAACATGTATATAGCCTAACACAAGTGAGGTCGTTTTTAACAATTCTAATGAGGAAATATATATTTTTAATGTCAGTCCTTTGGTTCCAGACTACATAACAATAAAGAAACGGGTGTTCCTGCTTAAACTGGGTCAAAACAAATCCATTGCTCCACAAACTCTCCCCGGAGACAGCCCATCACCTCGGGCGTGTTTTCACCTGCAGCACATGCCATCAGCGCACATGTGAGGAGCGTGTTCCCTCAGTCCTGCCTCTCAGGCTCTGCGTGCCTTACAGCCTCCCTCCTGTCATTCACGGCCCGCCTTCCCCTTCATCACAGAGGCAAAGTGGTGTGGAGGGCTGCAGAAAGTCTGCTGCGGTGCAGGGAGGAGGAAGCCCCTCGCTGGCCCACTTTCAGAGGGCCTGATTTAGATGCTGATGTCAGCGCGCAGAGCGGTACAGTGTGTGCTGCAGCCTGCAGCAGTGATGGAGCAGCAGCTGAACACTGCAGAGACACGCTCACATCTGCCACAACCCAGTGTTCAGTCTGCACCACCTCAGCAAATTCATCATTAAAATTATACTAGTGAGGAAAATAATTAGACGTGTGCTGCAACTAATGATTATTTTCATTGTCAATTAGTCTGCTAAAATGTCCTAGTTTCTAAATGTCTGGTTTCAAGTTCAAAACACAAAGATTTTGAAATGTTTATATGATATTTACAGAGAAAACCAGGATATTTGATACATTATAATGGCTGAAAACAGCATTTTGGAAAACATTTGCATGAAATAATTACTTTGAACAATATATCAAATATCAAAACAGTTATATTAACTATCAATTAGTTGACTTATTTCTGCAGATTAGACAGCAATTTTAAAGATGTTAATTATTTTTAGTAATCTAAAGGTCAAATAATTGTAAGTTCTAGATTCTCCGATGTGAGGAATCGTACCTTCTTTTATCGGTTATCATTACGAACTGAATCTCAATCTGCAGTCAATGAGGATTATTATTAGCATGTTTACATACTACATTAAACTGTTTAATTTACATTCACAACCTATAAGAACACAGTAAATGGGAATCCAGTTTGCAAAATTCTAAAACATCTAAAGAGAATATTAAATAAAAAACATAAACTGCTTAGTAAGCCACACAACACGAGGCTCCATGTCGTAGAAAACAACAACTTCCACACATATGTAGCCTTTGAAAAACCACATTGTGTAATTTCAATTTAACCATTAAAATATAAATTCCTCCTGCATCCAACTCCAATTGTTGTCGAGTTAAAGATGTCTTCTAAACTCTGTGGTAGCCACACATCCGAACAATAACTCCACAGCTGTCCTCAGGTCATATTGTCTACGTCACTGAATCTGCAGCGCCGCAGTGTTCATCACCTGGAGACTGTGCCAGCTGGAAACAAGAAACTGCAGCACAGATTCCTGCAGTCTGAGTTCCTGAGCCTTACACAGGGCAGGGTGTGTGTGTGAGGGGGGGGGGGTATGCTGATAGAGCCTCACCAAACTTAGAATGGAAACTGCTGCGGGATGTAACCCCCCAACAGAAAATAACCTCCGGTGATGACGTCACGCTGAGATCACCCCTTTAAACCGCCGCAGCTCTTCAACAATGCTGTGTGTATTTACACACAGAAACTGTTCATTAACAGGTTTTAATCAGTCGAGGCAATACTTATTCATCAAAATGTATCTTATAGCCACACACAACAGAATATATTTGCTACCCCGAGTAAGACGCCTGTCCTGACTCATAGCACCATCATATTTTACTGAATTATGTGATTTACATACAGAATAGAGTTGCAGAAGGTATATCCATGAGAGACTCTTACTTTCAAAACCCAGAGATTTAGTATTAATTAAATAAACTAATAGATCTTTAACTCTGTAACTCCGACCTGCTGCTCTCTAGGTCACTCGTGGCTCTGTTGGTGGGTGGCTTCACAAATATTGCCCCACCTTTGTCGTCCACATTTTTTTCGACATAAGCGGCTGAAATCTGGCATGCAGGTCAAGTGTTTGGTTGCGGAGGTGTGCGTTTGCTTTCATGCCACTTGGCAAAAAGCGGGTGTGGCAGTGAGAGTGGCGTAAGACAAAAAGGCTCATAACTTCTGAACGGATTAATGCACTGTGACGGCCCCAGAGCCTGTTGCGTGTTGCCTGTGTGTCTGTGTGCATTGCAGGTCTTTGGAGGGGGGGGAGCTGAGGACACTTGGCCAGTGCCCCAGGACCTACATGTACTTAAGCTCAGCTGCCCGGAGTCACAGTCTCTCCCTGACTCTCCTCTGGATCTCCGGCCCTTTGCCCAGCCTGGGTTGCCACTCCACAACGAAGTGAATTTGTTAATTTTATGTTAATAAATGTGAGGTTGTTCTCGCTAAATGCTGTGTGCGTCTCACACGTTTGTTGCAGCCAGAGTTGGGTGTAACGCGTTACTGTAATAATATTACTTTTGTCGGTAACTGAGTAGTGTAACGCGTTACTTTTATAATCCAGTAATCACACTACAGTTACTAACATTGCCCCGACACGCGTTACTTCGTTACTTTTATAAAATCAGTCATAATCACACTGACAGACAAGAGGGGTTTCCGCCGCAGGTTTATATGTACGTAATCTGCGCGACTTGCACGTCCACATCTCCGCGCGCAGTGCTGCATAAACATGGCTGAGTCAGCGATAACTTTCGAGGGGTGGAGGTATGCCCATTATTTTGAGTTTGTCCGAAGAATAGGACAGGAATGTGACGGTGAGGTGCAAACTGTGTCCAGGCCAGAAGCTGTTATCCACTGCTGTAAACACCACGTCAAACCTCAACAAACACCTGCAAAGAACACATGCTAAGGTGAAGCTAATAGCTAAGGACCCCCGAACCCAGAGTGAGGATGATGTTGTGAGTGCGCCGCCGCAAGAATTTGGAGGACCGGTAACCAAAGCAGAGATGGACAGGCTTGTAGCATCCTTCATAGTAGAGGTAATGTTGCCCATTTGCACAGTGGAATCACCATCGCATCGTTCAGAGATATGCTGCGCAAAATACAGATAGCAGGAGACAGAGGACAGCCATGGTCAGAGCTATCTGGATCAGTCTTATGCGACAATGGAAACTGAACTAAAGAGAACATTTGAAACTTTAGCAGTCTGCGTGATCTGCCTGTAGGGAGGGGCGGGACGGCCCTGCGAGTAAAGTAACGAGTAAAGTAACGAGTTACTTTATGTAGAGAGTAACGAAGTAGTGTAATATATTACTTTTTTTTAAAGTAATATGTAATATGTAATATATTACTTTTTTTTAGTAACGACCCCATCTCTGGTTACAATACGATACGATATACTTTATTGTCCCCGTAAGGAAATTTGTTCTGGACTCCGTCCTGCAGTGCACCCATGTACATGCCATGTGCAGCCTGCAAACTTGTCGAACATGCACCATTGCACTCAGACGATATAAGAGATGTCTGTGTGTGTGTGTGTGTGTGTGTGTGTGTGTGTGTGTGTGTGTGTGCTGGTACATTAATGCCCCTTTCACACCAACACGGTTCCCGTTCTAGCTCCCGTTCGGAACCGGTTTTTCTTTTCAGCCCCCGTTTTGTTCACACCGCCCAGAGCCGGACTGGTGCTGCCGCTGCTGCGTCATGACGTCACCGTTTACGTCGCTGATTTTCTCCCCAACGGCGTTGGGTCGATGATCGTGTTGCTTTTAATCATACGAAGCCAGATTCAATTAAATAACTACTTCTCAACCCTTGTACTTGTTGAGATCTCCACATTAGGTTGAATAATTCAAACGAAAGTTAGTTATAATTAAATATAATCAAATATATTCTTGTATAACCCTGAATGAAAATGCATTATATTTTAAAGTGGACCTATCATGCTATATTTTAATAATATAGTGTAGGACCATACCTATATAAGGCATATTTATACTTTTTTTTTTTCAAAATACCAAACAGATCATGCATTTTAGCCATGCCTCATTTTGCACTTTTTTTAGCTCTGTTTTTGCAAGGGCAGATTCAGTGAGAACAGCACCACCTACAGGCCTGGCATATGTACTACAGCGTCTCCAGCACTTTCGAACGGCAATGGCCATGGCTGTCTCCTCCTGATTGGTGGAGTTGGCCCAATAGCCGTAGCGCCACCGTCCTGACGTCAGGACAGTGTTCAAATCTGGATCAGTTTTTATCAGATCCGTTGCAGCCCCTTTTTTAGAGATTTGGGTATGGAGGAAAATAGAGAGGGTTGTGTTTTCTGACACTTGGTGAGTTCCCTGGAACACCGGGGACACATATTCATGTATAAAAGACGTACAAAAGTGCATTTTGCATGATAGGTCCCCTTTAAGTTTTCCTATAATCACACCACACAAAGTGGTTTGTTAAGTTGAGTTTAAGGCATATTTTAGTTTATGGGTGTCACTGATAAGAGAGGGTAGACAGTTTTTCCCTCACAGCGGTGCACAAGGGGGGGGGGGGGGGGCTCCTGACTTGTGGGAGAAAGACTGAGGCCCCAAAAAGGTGTTTGCGCCATAGCCGAGAATAATATTTTGCAAGTCCAGCACACTATAGGCCATGCCCAGTTTCCACAAATATGGGTATGGAGGAGTTGTCTTTAGGTTTTTCTGTCCTGTTTTGAGCATAAAAACTGGCTGAGAGGGAGCAAACTCGAGAGAGGGTGGGTTTTCCCCTGGTAGCTCTCTCCCTGGTAAAGCTCTCTCCCGGGAGCTGGGTTTTTCCTCGGTAAGGTTCTCTCAAACTTGGTAAATATCTCTCGAATTTCTTTGTTGAATGCCGAGTGAATTGTTTGTTGAATGTTTATAACCCAGCCACCTATGAGGATGGTCCTCTGAACTCATGCTGGACATAGGTGTGTATAAGAATTGGTTTGTTGAATGAAAGTTTGAATGTGGTTTTTATCACCGACCTTTTATGAGGAGATGCCTCTAAATTGTGTCGGGAGATTTTAATGTCACAACTGAATTGGGCAGTTGAAGTTAGCTTTTAATGTCACAACTGAATTGGGCAGTTGAAGTTAGCTTTTAATGTCACAACTGAAGAGGGCAGTTGAAGTTAGCTTTTAATGTCACAACTAGGGATGTCCCGATCACCTTTTTTTGCTCCCGATCCGATTCCGATCATTTGATTTTGACAATCTGCCGATACCGATTTTTCCCGATCCGATCTTTATGCAATGCATTAAGAGAAAAAAAAGGTAATAGATAACGGCTGGTCATCCAACGCGATGAATTCAGCTATCTTGGCTGTTATTTTTTTGGCCTTTTCACTGTTCTGGGGCAGTTTCTCTTTCCTTTTAAAAGTCTCTGAAAGTGTCAGTTGTTTCAGTGCCGTTACCCGAGTGGCCGCTGTGTACTCGTCGTGTTGTTGTTGGTGTTTGTTTCTCAGGTGGCGTATTAGATTGGTCGTGTTGAACGTAGCTCTGTTCTTTCCACCACGCGGAACCTTCACCTTGCAAACATTGCATCTGGCTGTTACACTGCCTTCGCTTTCAATTTTATAATACTTCCAAACTCCTGACATTTTCTCTGTCCCGAGGCACCAGCTGAACGTAGCCTCTCGTTAGCTTACTGCTACTATTAGACACTGCGCCCACTCTGTTGCCAGATTTGAGAGAAATAAGCAACCAGGTCTATGAAAACAAGCCCAAAAGAAGCAACACATACATGATGTTGTGTAATTTTAAACCAAAACTAAGGCCTCAGGATGACTTTAAGACGTGAACATGGTCATTTTTGTTTTCTAACATTAAATAAAATAATAAAAATATTTTATATATAAAAAAAAAAAAAAAAAGATTCCCGATCCCCGATTTTTTTCTCCCGATTCCGATCTTTTGAAAATCACGTGATCGGCTCCGATCCCCGATCACGTGATCGGATCGGGACATCTCTAGTCACAACTGAAGAGGGCAGTTGAAGTTATACTTTTAATGTCACCACTGAAGAGGGCAGTTGAAGTTAGCTTTTAATGTCACAACTGAAGAGGGCAGTTGAAGTTACACTTTAGTATAATAAATGTAAAACTGTGAATTGAGGTTTCATATTAGAAAATGACCACAGCATGAAATATTCTGTATGATTGTCATGTTGTAACGAGAGAAGGTAAAAACCCTGTACAAGTGTGGACCAATTTTTCTTCAAATAAACTGATCCCACCCTTTGGATTGGGACAACTTAAAAGAAATCTGCTTGAAAGGTAAGAAATGCACATCTGCCACACTCACACTTAGGTAGGGCCACATCTCATTACTGATATCAAAAATCCTTCGGGATCGCTTAAACAGATTTAGCGGGTCGTCTGAATTGAAACAGCAGTTCATTGAACCTGGTTCTTTTAATAGAGGTGAGATCTTGCTGACGTTGGTGGATCTGAGCCAAACAGTAAACTTACATAGACTCAATAGCTTCTGTTAGGTCAATTAGTAGGTCTGAGTAATTTGCCGGAATAAGTTAACAGGCCTCCCGACTCCGACATACTTTTCTCCAGAGTGCCGTGGTTCATTGTTTATGAATGTGTTTCAGCGGCATTTACCGACCGCTGCATTGCTGCCCACTGTTTGGCATCACAACGCTGTTATGAAAGTTTCTCTGGTATAAAATGGGTGATGTTAGCATAGCAACCGAAGCTAAACTGACTATCTTGACTACTTGTTGCTATCCTATTGTGGCATAAACCGGCACATTTTACCGGCGTATTTTTCATTATGATTCTACTTGTGATAGTCGGACATGAGTCATGACAACCTGTGCAGCCCATGTATTGATTCCATCCGATAGCTGCTATAATACAAAACAAAACGTCTGCCTGCTCTCCACAATGATCAATGACAGCGAGCGGATGGTCAAAGTAAGGTACAAATAAACAGAAGCCTGACTTTATAAAGTGTGTTTTTTTTAATAAGTGTGTGGTTTCGTTCTAGTCACTTTGGTCAGCGCTACTGCTTGTTACAAGGCTAAAGTCCCAAAGTTGGTGCCAGAGGGTGTCCCCCCCCCCTGTCGTAAAACATAGTGATATCACTATATACACTCACTCTTCTACTGGCTAGCACTCCAACACATTGTACATGATAGGCTAAGGAGTAGGACATCTCTAAGCGGTTGACCAATCACAACAGAGTCGGCCAGCTAACCAATCAGCAGACTGGGCTCTGGTTTCAGACAGAGGGTGAAAAGAGGTGCTGCAGCACAGGCAGTATGAGAAAAATAAAGAGCTTTTTGAACATTAAAGCATGGAGACATGTCACAGTAGAGGCACTAAATATAAAAATGAACTGAGAATAATAAAGCCCCTTTTAGTGTGTAGCATCAGTTCATTTTTAACAAGGAGAGAGTTACTTACAGCCATGTAGGGCCTGCAGCCTGCATCTCTGGTTTTGGCGATGGAGTCCACCAGCTGGCCGCTGATGCCGAAGTCACACAGCTTGATGTTGCCATTCCTGTCCAGGAGGATGTTTGACGGCTTAATGTCTGACGGAGGGAGGGAGGAGAGAGAAAGGTTAAAAAAAGACACCTGATTTTCTACCAATAAGAGTCTATAAAATACAAAATAAGTTAATGATGAGATTATGTATCGTCTTACCTCTGTGTATTATTTTCAAGTTTTCTTTTAAGTGGTTAAGTGCTTTCACAGTCTGCAAAACAAAATGGAATCTTAGGCAGCAGGAATCGAACATTAGGCATTTACATTTTTTAAAAGTGGTCCAAGAACAACTTACAGCTAATGTTATTTTTCCTAATATTTCCTCCGGAATCACGTCGTCTAATGAGCAATATACAAATTTGTAAAATTTGTCTAACGAGGTAGCCATAAGTTCCATACAAATCCAACAGTCGCCCTGAAACACAAGAAAGCTAGTCATGAGTTTGAGAAGTTCAATTTAGAACACACATTTATAAAATATGACAATACAAAGAAAATAAAAGAGTAATTAAACAGAGGTTAATATAATGAAAAGAATAATGTAGAAAATGGTATGCACCTCTCTGAACAGAGCACCGTAAAACTGCACGATGTAAGGACAGTCACTACTCCTCACGACCACGTCCAGATCCATCAGCAGCTGCTTCTGCTCCTTCTCATCAACTGTGGATCGAATTCTCTGTGGGAAAAAAAACAATGCACAGAATTATAAAAAAAAAAACACATAGTGGAAATCTTCACAGTATGGTACTAGATTGGAAAGTTATTGGTCAATATCAATACCAGTGAAATTCCATGAACCTGCAAACCCAATTCAATATCACTGTAGAAACTAAAATCCTTTTAACATATACTCATTTTGTTAAAACTCCCAAGTCTCCTCTCTACCTGAATCACTAGTGTCAATCAAGTGTAGGCCACGCCCCCTACCAAAGCTTATAAATCTCCACCCTTCAGGCCTGTCACTCCCTTCCTCCCCTCAGAGACTGCAGGCAGAACAAAGGAACCACTGAGTTCGCAATTGTTTGTACTTAAAACATTTGATGACATGTAAACATATCGTTTGTTTATCTGTTAGATTTACCTGCTAGGTCCCTTTTGATCTGTTCCTATGTTAAAGAAAAAGTAAGCAGTTTACTCCTGTGGCTGCGTTGTATGATGTAAGTAAAATAATGAACCTTATTCAGGATTATTATGCTTGTCCATATTGTAAAACCTGTAATATGTTGCCAATATTCTTTTATTTAGAGATCCACATCCATTGACACCCATGTTGTACCATCCGCAAACCACCGGATCGCCCAATAAAATGTTAAACGGCCTTCTGGATCCAGTGTTTTAATGTGCACACCACCTGAGATGTTCAGTGAACCACCAAAACTATAGTTTTTTCACCTTTTGTAAGGAAAGTCATAATTCCCTTTCTTGCCATATTAATGTTATGATAAAACGTCCTTAAAACAACTGAATTAATTAAAGTTTATCGCCAAAAAAAACATACAATAAACCATTGCCAATTTTTTTTTTTCTGGTAGTGCTTTAATGTATCATAAAAATGTTGATACATAAATATTCTGTTAATACAAGAAAAGTTACAAACGTAATGTTTCATTACGAAAAATGAGTGTAGAACTATATTAAGTTTAACTCAACATAAGGGATGTGCTTTTAATTGAAAAAAACCCACTATTTGTTATGATTTGTAATGATTTATTTTAGAATATCAAAAGATGGATCACCTTGACCGCCATGATCTGGTTGCTGGGATTGTGCACCATCTTGTTGACGGAGCCGTAAGCCCCTCGTCCGATCTCGCCCAGGTCTTTGAGATCCTCGGCCGTGAAGTCCCAGTGCTGCTCCGCGGAGATCTTCAACTTCCCTGAGGACTCGATACTGTGTGTTCTCAGCCTCTCTCTGCCAGAAAACAGGAGTGTGTGAAGGTAGAGACCAACTGAAACATCATTATGTAGCATTACTGGCTTTATTTTAGGATGACATGACAACAGACGAAGGGTCACTCACATGTGCGGGTTCTGGAAGGGCGGCCCGGCCGTGTTCAGTGTGAATCTGGTGGTGGGTTTGATCGGAGGGTTGGCAAAGTTCAGCTTCAAAGCTTTGCGTTTACCTGAGCAAGGAATAAAACAAAGCAGTAATGTGACCAGATCTTCGATAAAGCAGTAAACGCTGAGGCAACCTCACCCCACATGAAAGGTAAAAATTAAGAGTGACAACACAAACTATATAATGTGATAACAGATGGAGTGAGGCGAAATATATCCAAATGTACTCAAATCAATGGATGTCATGCTTTCTATAAAATGGAAAAGAACTATTGCATCACCATATATGGAGGTTTTGCTTTATTCATTACAAATGTGTTTTGTTTCCAAGAATATACTCACCTTGGGATAACTGATTAGTTTTTCTCCTCATTGTTAAAAAATCCCATGAAAAGATCCAAACCATCACAGAATGCATCTCCTTAGGAATACTGTGTGTATACAAGCCTGATAAAGCTTCCTCCTCTGTGCCATAGAGCTCCATTGTTGTCCAACAACTATTAAGAACACATCAATGAGGGACACTGTTGTACTGAGTGACATGTTCCCTCTTTACCATGAACACACAGTAGTTTATTTTGACTACAAATGCCTCTAATACTCACTATAGCACCACATGTGGATTAATCCGCTGCTGAAAATAGTCCCAAGACATTTACAATTTCCTCCTGTTTGCTTGATCAAAAGTGTTGGTAGCTTTGGTCTTTTTATGGGATTTATTAACCATTCAAAATGTAGAATAACACCTAACGTTTCTTGCCCTTAACTCAGCATTTTTAAGAAAAAATGTCTGTTGTATACCAAAAATCCCAAATATCTACCCAGGGACTGAGAAAGCTGTATGGTTGCCTCCTTATATCATAAGATTAAATTATGTTTACATTTTGGCTATTATCCAATCATTAGATTTAGAAATTACAGTGAGATTTTCTGGACTGGATAGTCCTAACACTTAGCCAATACTCTATTGCAATACATTTTCTTTATAGATGTATTTGCAATACAAAATGATCAGGAAAACTAATTAAGAAAAGTTGAAATCCTAGAATGTATCCTACCCTTTGATTATCAAATCAAATTGTCATGAAGAAAATATTATACTGGTGTCACCTGTTCAACAACAGCCTCCGATAATGTGCTTATCTAAAGCTCTAATACTAACTCCACCACTTTCTTACAGATATACATTTAAATCTTATATTAAATGAAGAAAGAAAACCAAAGCATGCAGCAACAAATCCCACACAAACACCTACATTCAGAGTGCACACACACCAACCCAAACATTAAATAAAAAGGGGAAAACAATGCACTTATAAATACACATGACATGCTTCTCAAGGCCAACTGCTTTGATTTCACCTCCGAATCGTAGGACAGCTCGCTCCACCCAAATACCACAAGAATGTGTGCGCTTGAACTCCCGTCGGCTTTGAATGCAAAACATCGCTTGAAATGACAACTGTGGAGTGTGTGTACCTTGTCTCAACAAGCAAGACGCTATGCTGAGGTGCACCCATGCCAATACAAAAACAAAAAAACACAAACCGGTTGAAGTGACAACACTACAGGCACTACTATTGCTTGTTAGTTGCACTCTGAAAACTAGTGAGGTAGAGCTTCCATTACAGCGTTTTATTAGGAATTGTATTACTACAAACATTGTTTAGTTTGGAGGACTGTTGTTTCACACCGAGGAAGGACAAAGGATCTTAAAATATCAATGGAAGCTCTGAGTTTTAGGCTTATGCCGATGAGAGCAAATACAACTTACCTATAAATGGTCTAATAAGTAGGAAACTGAACTGCACAGTTAAGGTGGCGCATTAAAGGGAGAGTTTGGATTTTTTTAAGTGGGGTTGTAAGAGGAACTATAGTCAGTGTTTACCTACATCAAATGCAGTTTAGAAAAACAATCAGGGAGCTAAGCAATGTACTCCTGTGAAAGGGGGCAGCAGAAAACTCTTTAACCACCTTAAAAAAACAAATAAATCAGTTGTAATGTATACTACATTTAGACTTTTTTTGTTATGTTTATCTAGCCGTCAGACAGACCTTTCTAACGGATAACTTAAGCCGTTATCAAAGACCACCACCAGACTCCATTGATAATAACAGTAATTCCACTTTGCAGGAAAGGGAAGTTACTGGTCAACCTTTTGTTTGTTTGTGTAATTATGTGACATTGGAGTTTTAAAGGTCCCATGTCATGGCCATTTCTACTGATCATAATTCCATTGCTGAGGTCTACTAGAATATATTTATATTGTTCAATTTTCCAAACTCACCTTGGCTTCTCATACAGCATCTCTTTATAGTATATGTATTCACTCTCTGTCCTAAACGGCTTGTTGGAGCTCCTCTGGGGCAGCATAGACTGTGTTAGAGTTTTACTCACTACAGGGTGTACTTTGAGGGTTTGTGACTCTGCAGTCCGTTTACATGCAGAAAAAGCTACATATCACACAAGGGGACGGGTAATAACCGAAAAAGCATGACATGGGACCTTTAAAGGGGACCTATCATGCAAAATGCACTTTTGTACGTCTTTTATACATGAATATGTGTCCCCGGTGTTCCAGGGAACTCACCAAGTGTCAGAAAACACAACCCTCTCTATTTTCCTCCATACCCAAATCTCTAAAAAAGGGGCTGCAACGGATCTGATAAAAACTGATCCAGATTTGAACACTGTCCTGACGTCAGGACAGTGGCGCTACGGCTATTGGGCCAACTCCACCAATCAGGAGGAGACAACCACGGCCATTGCCGTTCGAAAGCGCTGGAGACGCTGTAGTACATATGCCAGGCCTGTAGATGGTGCTGTCTCACAGAATCAGCCCTTGCAAAAACAGAGCTAACATTTTTCAAATTGAGAGAAATGAGGCATGGCTAAAATGCATGATCTGTTTGGTATTTTGAAAAAAAAAAGTATAAATATGCCTTATATAGGTATGGTCCTACACTATATTATTCAAATATAGCATGATAGCTCCACTTTAAGTTGTTAGTTAGGATCCAAGGTGACATAATCACACAAACAAACTAACCAATCTAGGCACTGGATGACAAGCTAATTTGGTGTAACTGAGAGTTAAAATGACTGTTTTTGTCAATGGAGACTGGTGGTTTTGAAGAGAGATTAGGTCTAGGCGAAATAAGCTAAATGTAATCACACTTAGACTGATTTTATTTTTTAAGGTCTCAAAAATATGTTTTAGCTTCCTGCTGGTACTCCTGTATGTTTCTCTTAACTTCCTCCAACTGTAGGTTATATAAACTCACTTCAAACTATCCCTTTAATTCTGCAGTAGGTAGTTGATGGGAAAAAGGCTATGATTTATTAAACCTCTTTGTAAAACTCATAAAAGTTCCATACAGTAAGTGCAGGTGTCTGACAAGCTGCAGCTTTATCCTGTCATCTGAGCTAGTAGCAACCGGCACAAGCCTACTTGAAGCATCAGAAGTCTTGACTGGGATTAGTGGAGAACAGCAGGACAGACTCCCCCATACCAGACTGTCAGGTGGAAACAAAGGGATGAGAACTGTTGGTGCTGAAGCAAAAGAGGTTTGGCTTACTTGGGGGAGCTCCAGACAGGTTTATCTGAAACCCTAGAGGTGAGAAGACAGCTTTTATTTTCTTCATATTTCACCTTCAGTTAGCCAGCTTCTTTATCCTCTTCAAGAAGGCTGTTTGTTAGTTAGACCTAATGTTACCTCCCTTTGCTAAAATCCCATCCTCCTGTAAAATATAAAATGGTGTCCAATTTTTTCACCCAACAAACCAGGTTCCAGTTCCAGGGTCGATAAAATAATCACAGAAATTGGCCTTGCTCCACCGACATGTCAGAGATATCTATCGCAGGTGAAATGCATCATAGGGAAGGTAATGCATTATTAGCATGCACATTTATGACACAAATGCGAGCATGTCATGTTTCAGTGTAACAGATAATGGAGGCAAAATGAAACAAAAATATAAGGGGAACTACGAGTGAGAATGAATTACCACCGTGAAAAATAATAAAAAGTTGAATAAACATTTTCTCGGGGACATCTCACCATCATTCAGCATCATGTCAGGAGATAGGAATCATTAGTTAGCAGCAGTAAGGTAAAAGGTGAAATATGGTCAGGGGAATATGAATCAAAGTACATAAATACACATTAAAAACCCAATACATTATTATAAAATCAAATTATATAAAGCCTGCCATCTCAATGATGACTATTTGTATTGATTAATTATACCATCAGGTGAAAGACATTCAAGAAAATACATTTACCAATCGCTAACTATACAAACACAATGTAAACATCATCATTCAGGACTGCATTTTTAAACCATGAAAATATCTATTATTATTATCATTATATATATATATATATATATATATATATATATATATATATATATATATATATATATATATATATACACACACACACACATTTGCTTCCCAGAACTTGTAATCATTGATTTAGTATGACATTTGTCTTATTAATAAAATGCTTATTCTACTCTTAGAAGTCAATGAACTGTGTAGCTACCTGTTTCACTCTGACATCTCCAGCAGGTGTTGGACTCTGCAAGTTAAAATGAGAGATTGTTTGCACAAAAATACAGTATTCATTTACAGCATTGTGATTGAATCAAAGATATTGATTTAGATATTTAAAAAAAAGAAAAGGGACAGAGCAGCTTCATGCATCACATGTACTTGCTCGTGCATAACAATGGTGTAAAGAATGTATGAAACCCATCTAATTTTACAATTAATTTAATTTGATTGTGTATATTGCCAACCGCCTACAGACAATTGAACATGACTTGACATGATTTCTCAACGCTGAAAGTATTTTGAATGAATTCGGCATATATTATTCTTACAATCCATGTTATGTGTGAAAGACGCATGAAGCCAATTTTGAAATAACAGACGTCATTACTGCCAAGGGAAGTGCAATCCAAATACATGATTATAAACGGATTTTATATGCAGACTAATAGATAATTAGTATTACGGTTTGTTAAATTGAAAAATGAAATATTATACAATTGGCATTTATGAAATATGTAGTTATAGTTACGATTTATAATTGACATTTCTTTGAACGGAGTTTGGCAGTATTTTCCCCAGACAGGAGAAAATAGAACGTAACGTGGCTACGAAATGTCAAAATGGTAACAATGACATAACATGAATATTGTAAGAAACAGTATATTATTATTTTCTAGTTGATGACAATTTACATGTTTCTCTAGGGGAAAAATACAGGTCCGTTCCCTCGGGAATATGTTTTCAGGGCTGGGAGTAGCCTGAGCCTCCCACGGCTAGCTGCTAACATTAACCTTCACTGCAGCAAAATGTAAGCCATCCCAGCTACTAGCACCGTCTCTGTTAGCATTGTCTACTTACCCTGCATGCTGCTCATTGTTGTAAAGTGCTGCTGGGGGGACTGGAGATGGTGGTGTGCAGCAGATCCTGCGTTATTGCTGCTGTTGTGGCTGCTAGGTGTTGTTGAGTTGTTAGGACTGGGAGTCGCCATTGTTGTGTGTTTGAATTCCATCAGCAGCACCGGGCTGCAATGCAGATACACGGAGAACAACTTCACCCTTCCCTCCCTGCCACAATAATTACTGCCTCCCTCACGGCAACTTTAGGCCGCAAAACGATCCGGTAGCGACTTTAGAATAGTTTAAAATACGTGAAATTATTCCGATTATTTTAAATGTCCAGGCTACGTTAAACGCTACAGATCCGTAACGTTACCAAAAACAAACATCCAGCTAGGCTAAGCTAACTAAGCTGGCTAGCAGTACTAGCCAAGAAGCTTTAAGACCCGCAATCAGCTGACCAAGTGACACTGACATGTCAACACCCACAGAGCGTCCCGGAGCTACAGAAAACACAACGAGAGTGAGCAGAGACAGAGCCGGATGTGATGTTAGGTTGCTTCAAAATAAAACCATGTCGGTATATTTTATGGGAATTAAATAAAAACACAACAAAATGATAAAGTAAGTTACAATACTAAGACTGGTGTCAATAAAATAGCAACAACAGTTAGATAAATGAGTTAAAATAAGTTAATACAAATACAAAAAAGTACATTATACTAACATGAGAATAAGAATAGTTTTAAGTTGTTTTAAAGGGGACCTATCATGCAAAATGCACTTTTGTACGTCTTTTATACATGAATATGTGTCCCCGGTGTTCCAGGGAACTCACCAAGTGTCAGAAAACACAACCCTCTCTCTTTTCCTCCATACCCAAATCTCTAAAAACGGGGCTGCAATGGATCTGATACAGACTGATCCAGATTTGAACATTCCTCTGACGTCAGGACGGCGAAGCTGACCTATCAGGGGAATGAGAGGTTGCCGTGGCATGGTAACAGCATGGTAACACGACGCTCGTAACTCGGCCCCCACCTTTGCAGGGGGGCGTGGTCAGCTGCAGCGCATGCAAAGACAGGGTGGTGGAGGGAAGCAAAATAGAGCGAAATGAGGCATGGCTAAAATGCATGATCTGTTTGGTATTTTGAAAAAGAAAACGTATAAATATACCTTATGTATGTATGTATGTATGGCCCTACAATATATTATTCAAATATAGCATGATAGGTCCACTTTAAGCAACATAGCATTCAAATAAACGTTTAATAAAAGAAAATTCAATGTTTTGGCATAGCCTAAGACAACTTAAATGCCATTTTATGTGTTGCCAAGTTTTTACTAAGCTGTGCTCTGGGAACAATTACAGAATTACAAGGAGCTTGACTTGGGGCAACTGTTTCATCCCTTCAAGATCATCAAAATGTGCTCGGTCATTTACCCAGAAAAAACAACCAAAGTGACAATTAATTTAGGCGTAGAACAGCAACCCAACTACAAAAACTATTATCTAATTATTTATATTGATTAATTTAATATTTTTGTAGTTTTTTCTAACTGATGATATTATTATCTGTCCCTGTATGTATGGGATAGCTGCTAAGCCTTTATGCATTGTGTAATAATAATGAATGCAAAAATCATTAATTAACTTGAAAAATGTAATGTCAATAATTATTTTATTTTGTAAAGAAATAACGGAAGTTATATTTTTGCCTTACGGGTAAACTGACGTTACTGCGGTCTTGCAGAATGTGTGCTCGTTTTGTTGTACGGGACAGCCAGGGTAACCACACGTCCAATAATCAAGCCAGCGTAGTTAGACCTGTGTCATGTGTGGGGTATTTTTTTCACATTGCTACATAGTTCATGTAAGAGTACGTTTAAAAACAATATATCAAACAGAACTGTGACCCTGGGCGTAATGTGTACAGTTATACAATCCTAAATGTAGAAAAACACTGAACATCCGCCTTAAATGATCGTCTGTCGGCTTATACAACGTCAAAAAAGAGGGTGTTTCTTTGTGCATGACTCATTATGGAGATATGCTAAATAATTTGGGAATTGGCGTGCATGTCCCAAAAAGTCAGTGCAAATGTAGTAAATATCAAACAAACCCCTCAATATTTTATCAGCTGGATTATAGAAGGACTGTGTCATGGCGTTTGCTTGTTGTTATCTCTACGTCCCGCAGACCCGGGCGGGGAAGCGAAATGAAACAAACAACGATGGGGGAAGTTTGCAAAGAGAAGAACTCAGAGTCATGGCTTTCTGTCATTTGGCGAATCTGCAACCTTTTCATGTCTGTGTTCTTCGCTCTTGCAACATATGTTCAGGTAAGCTTTTAATTTCTAAATTATATGAATTCGATATGTTTTTTGTGGATCGCTCTAACACATATTGTGTCTTGGCTGTAGATTAACGATCCAGACGCAGGGTTGTGGATGGTAAGATTACAACCATTTGCTACATTATTTTGTCTATTGAGATTTATGTGATTTTTGTATTTATATTTAACGTTTCTCTTGCAGGTTGGTTATGGCGTTCCTGCAGTCCTGTGTGCAAGCATTGGATTGAACCCCCATGTGACAGGTAGACATAGTGTGTCGTTTTTCAGTATATGAATGATCATTTATTGCGTATTTAAACTTTGAACCCAGGTCATATCTTAGAGTTTCCTTTCCTGAGTATTTCCCAGTCTTCCACACTTTGCAGGCTGTTGAACTTTGCTTTAATGCTTATTTTACAGTGCATATAGCGCCATCAAGTGGCTTCATCATGACTGTACAGCTCAGTAAAGTTCTACTTTAACAACAGCACAACACATAACACTGCAAAGCTGACTGTACATGTTTTTTTATTTCCTCTTTGCAGAAACGTTGCCATGGAGGCGTATTGCAGATCTCCATGTGATGATTTCCACTGCTGTGGTTGCCATATTGGGATGGAGACTTTGTAAAGAGCGAATCACAGATATCTTCCAGGAGGAGGAGGGCAGGTAGACGGTTTACTTAAATAGGTGTTGAGTCTGCAGCACTGTAGTGATCTGCATTTTGCAAGTCTTATTTCAATGAATTCCCCTGAAGCATTGGCCTTTTTTTAAAGATAATTACAAGCAATTGGAGGTAACAGGAAATCCTGAGTAAATGCTAGAGGGAAGCAATTTGAAAACATGGAGATAATCACTAGCTAGGAGGGATTCTTAAGGCAACACATTAAATGACATGTATATGCAGAAAAGTGGTGTGTTTTAATGTGTAGGCTATATTTGTTTGTGTGTGCATAAGCAGTCCTTGTAAAAATGTATATGGTATGATTCCATGATTATTATTATTGGTATGATTTCAATCTCAATATTACAAATAAAACAGTACATTCATGATGAATTAGGGGCACAAACCTAGTATGGACATTGAGATTTAGATTGATAGTAACGATGCTACATACAACTTGCCCAACATAGACAATAATGCAAAGTGTAGTTGAAATATCTAATGTAAAAAAAAGGGTTATAATACATAAATGATATACATATGTTTAAAATATATATTTTAGAAATTGTTTATGCAAATCTCATTCAGGAAAAAAAACTATTTGACATTTAATATATTTTTTCTTTCTTTTAGAGAATTTTCTGGTCTCATGCTGACACTTGTTTGGCTTCTCCTATGTCGCCACTCTGGAAGGTAACATTTTAATTATTTTCATTTTTGTAAGGCGCTTTTTGGAATGTTTCCTCCTTCTTACCTATGGGTAAATTGTATGGGTGGGAACTTAGTGCATTTGGTTCCAGGACCAACTGTTTCTTAGGTGTGTACTGAACCAGGAAAAGCTGCAAAGACTTGAATGTTAAATCAAGTCTTTTGTTATCTTTTTATTCTGTGATGTGTGCTTAGGACATTGGAAATTGTTACATTTTCACAACAATCTGTAATGCTGCCTGTCTTGGCCATGACACTATATACATTTATATATATAACCTATAACCTATATATGAAAGGTTATAGTTATTTAAACGGCTTTTGTTTTATTTACAGTATGTGTGTTTTCCTTTTCTGTCAGGTCTCCGGTGGGGATGCTCAGAGTCTCCACGGCAACTGCCATCACAGTGTTCCCCTTTGTGGCCTGGCTTTACTATTACATCAATACAGAGCTGAGAGCAAACTGGCCTTCACACTGTAAAACTGCTATTTAAACATCAACTACTGTTCCTTTTGTTATGTTCTCTGACTGAAAACCCTGGACCAACGATGCTGCTCAAGTTAACATTTTGTAGTAGCATTAAATACAAACATATGACAGCTGAGCTGTCATAAAGTATTTTTCATCAAAGTATTTTTCATCAAATGTTTACCTACTGTTTTTCTCTATAAAGTGCAATTGATTGTGGAATGTTGATTGTTTTTTCTGTCAATTGAAGTATAAATAATATGCAATAAAAGAAAAGTGAATCAAAGACAGTTATATATATATTTCTTACTTTTCATCTGCATTTTCATTCCTATCTATCTTTGTTAATTTACAATTCAGAGCCTGCTTTTTAGAACATTTTATTTTCAACAAACTGGAAAAAATGTATTGTTTCTTTAGGACAGTATTTTATAATTTATGGTCCGATGGTCAAAATCCTCATAATCCTTAATAAAGGAATGCCTCATTTGTACCTTTTCAGAAAACTTGTAATACAAAAAAGAATCATCTTAATGTAAGTTAACAATTTGGGAAGATTCATGTTTACCCTGTATACATGTAGCCTACTGTATTTTTAGTTAAAATGTTTAGCTTTTCCTGTAGTAGTTTCACCCCGTACTAAGACTATTTGCCCTATAGGAGGCAGCAGAGAGCACTACTAATAACAGCATGACAGAAGAAGATGTAAAATACGTAATTTCCTGTTTAATAACGGCAGATCTCCGAACAGCCTTTTCCGTTTGTTGTGCTCCATTTAGGTTAACAGATATATGTAAGACTGACTCCAGAACAGCAGTTTTCCGCCGTGTATCATATCCTGATCATATCACGTTTTGTAAACTTACCGGCGCTTCCTCGTTACAGAAGCGGTACTGTCAAGGTCCAGACATGGCCATGAGTGTTTTATATCAAAGCCTGGGATGCCGGTTGTTTCACAGTAACGTTAAACTCTTAAGAACATGTACGCAGCAGACCCAGACCGTCAGACTTGCACACAATGTTTTCCAGAGAGAAACAGAGTTGTCACCGCGGAGACTTCACTGCTGCCTGGTAGGTCAAAGCTAGCTATCATGTGTAACACCAAACTCCATTTAGATATTCGGCAATTAAACGTACGCATCACTGTCCACTTCTTTGCTAGACTTCATAGTTAGAACACACATTTATCAATTACTTTTAGTTTTAATACATTGTAGACTGCCTACAGCCTGCAAGGTAACACTCATTTCTGTTGAACTATATTTTAAAATCTTATTTTTCTTCTCTGTGCGTCACTGTATTTATATGGCAAAACATGTTAAAATATTAGAAGAAACATGTCTTACTGCTGACAAAAACTAGCTGAGGTTATTTGGGGAGAAAAAAACCTCCTTAATTATTTAAAAACACCTATCCAGTTACGCCACCTGTCCCTATCATGGGGCACCACCTTAAGTTAGCAAATATTTTAATGGCGTTTAGCGTGATGCCTAATGTTTTATAGCCATTGAGTGAAAAGAGATTGTGACGTAAGAGTTTTATTTTCTGCTACTGAATATTTGTTTTATCTTTGATATGCTTTTGTATTTTTAATTGTAAAACTTAAACCTAACTGTAACCTGTGTATTTATTAACAGGTGAATGTGAGAGCAGCACAAAGGCTGTATCAACACCCAAGAATCTTTTCCTCTTTACCTCCACCGCCTAAATCAGGGAAGAAAGAGAAGAAGTCTGTGGTAAGTGGAATGTCTTTGATGTCTTTGTGTTCTTTCTTACAAGTGTAAGACATGCGCATTCAATTTCTTTAATGATGAAAGAGAAGTATAACATTAAATGTAACTATATATATATACAACATATATAAGCAACATATCTTCTCCTCTAAGGTAATATTTACAATCTGTTGCACTCAATTATTAATGCTGTACCAAATAACTTCTAAATATCATAGAACTATATTGATGGTATACAAAATCAATCCTAATTTGTTGAAAACTAGTGGACATGTTAAGTTTTATTAATTTGATTACTTTAGCGTTCAGCAATTCACATTTAAAAACTGTTGCAAATGTAGGTTAGTTTTAAAGCTCAAATGGAGACTATTCAAGACATTGTAAACATTAAATGCTGCTGTTTATAAAAGCCTTGGGACCCCTTTTTGGACAATTATACAATGTATTTAATTGAATTTAAAGAAACAGATTGATGACCTTGTTTTAGCATAAATAAACCCAACTCTGAAAATATAAAAAACATGTTTTCTATGAATTATCTCCTCTTTTTAAAGCCTGTGACATGGAAATCTTTAGCAATAACGTTTGCTATTGGAGGCATTGCGCTTGGAGCAATGAAATATTTGAAGAAAGAAAAGGAAGAAAGTAAGTATTGTACAACTTTTAATATTAAAGGTGGGGTAGGTAAGTTTGAGAAACCGGCTCGAGATACACTTTTTGTTATATTCCATGGAATGCTCTTAACATCCCGATAGCAATGAATATCTTAAGTGCTTTGACAAAAAATCTGTAATACTGTAAAAAGTACGACCAATCATTTTAGCCGGCCCGGCTAAAATAACTGGATGTCCTACCTGCCTGTCAGCTTTCCATCTGTGCACAAACTTATCTCGTGCCCTCATTGGTCATGTGCGCGTTCGTGTGTGTTGGAGGAGGGGCTCTGTAAGGAAGTGGCAGATTTTCTCCGGTTGTGTATTTTCAAATTCTAGCGATCTCAAGCCGGTTTCTCAAACTTACCTACCCTACCTTTAAGTGCAAACTAATGTGTGATACAAGTTAATGCATCATTAGATTACATTCTGTACAAGCTCATATGTATTCAAGTGATAAAGCTGTTAACTAATAATGACCCTTGTTCTGAATCGGTGATCGGTTGCACTTTGCAGTGATAGAAAAAGAGCGGACTAAGTCCATCGGGCGCCCGGCGCTGGGAGGTCCGTTCTCGCTCATCGATCACAACAACAAGCCCTCCAAGAGCGAGGACTTCCTGGGGCAGTGGGTCCTCATCTATTTCGGGTTCACTCACTGCCCCGACATCTGTCCGGATGAGATAGAGAAAATGATCGAAGTGGTGGATGAAATAGGTAATAAAAACTGCTTTGATCAGGAATTAGATAGATGTACTTTTTTGATTTGGGAAAATATTTAGTCACAGCAGTAGTAGGAGGTTATAAAGGCATTGTACATGAATGAAAAATAAAATAAACATTGAATATATACAAATCAACAGTATTTGTTGAGTTGTGTATGGAATTCACAATATACAATATAAATAAACAAGTTATAATACTCTATAATACACCAAACTACTACTACTAAATAAAACAAAGGATACTTTATACATTATACAATGTGCAAAGTAGTTGGAGTAGTTTTTAATACAATATAAACACATTTAATTGAGATTGAGTTTAAAAATAGCAAATTGTACACTTTGATATCCCAATTTCGTATTTTTTTTTTTTCCACAGATAAAATAAAATCGATTCCAAATCTGACGCCGCTCCTCATCACCATCGATCCTGACCGGGACACACCAGAGGCCATGGCTGAATATGTGAAAGGTAAAAACAACAAATACTTTCTGTTTCATATAAAGGGGCCCAAATTCAATCTCAAGACCTATGGACTTTTAGGTGCCTTGGCCACATCATTTGCAACGTTTTTATTCTATTTCACGTACTTTGTTTTATTTATATTAGATTTATGTCTCTCTGTTTAATAACTATTAATATACTTTATACTGTCTCTAATTATATTTTATATATGGATGTTCCTTTATTTGTTTTTGTTTATGTATAACACACAATATGATTAAGAACATTTCATTTGCTGTTGGTATAAAAGTGATTAGAGAATAAGAATTTTTTTTGACAAAAAGAATAAACACAGTATATCAATACACAATATCCACAGATAAATACACACTATTTAGAAATACAAACTGTACTTTAACACATATCTGTGAGTTACAATTGAAATTCATGACTTGCATTTTACTACTTTAATTCTGATGGATTAATTATTTATTTTTCAGAGTTTTCCCCAAAGCTGATTGGCCTGACGGGAACACTGCCTCAGATCGAGCAGGTTTCCAGAGCCTACAGAGTTTATTACAGTCAGGGACCAAAGGACGAAGACAACGACTACATTGTGAGTAATCACCTGCTCTATTGTCATGTTTCATAACAATGCACGGATATTTAAGGACAAAAAATAAACAATTTTGTCCATGAGGTCTGATTTCCTCCTCTTGCTGTCTTCAGGTCGATCACACCATCATCATGTACCTCGTGGGACCCGATGGGGAGTTTGTGGAGTATTTTGGACAAAACAAAAGAAATGTGGAGATCAGCAACTCCATAGCAGCATATATGAGGAAGTACAAAAAGGCAAAGTGAGCCGCAGCACCTAAAGCCCGCTGCGGACTGACAGATTCTGTCCTCAGGTGTTTGTTTGATTTAACTAATCAATACTGCCATCTTATATTGGCTCCCTGTATTTATTTTAATGCTTTTCTACAAATATAATTGGACTGCAGAACATTCCTTTAATGAGTGCTGTGCAGAAGAATGCATTTCATTAGGGATGTCACAATACTAGAAAGGATGTAGTCAATACCAATACATGTTAAATTGCACTAAATTCAATACAACAGTAAAACACGGAAAATAATTATGCCTCACCATACACTCCTTTATTAAATACTGGTCATAATCTCCTTTCAAATATGGGTTTTATATTGCTGTTTCATATACGCACCATAGTGCAACTTGTTCATGCTAATAGCTAATGCCAATGTTAACTTCCCATTTCATCACAGAGATATTGTTCACATTAAGACATTTCAGGAAAGAATAAGGATCTAGCCCATCCCAAAAATAAGATGCATCCAATACATTGAGTTTACTGTGTCCCAAAAATATTTTCGATTTCCTAGATAGCATTATTCCCGAGCACTGATGTTACCGTTGGTAAGAACAAAGAAACGTCTTTTTTTCTAGATTTGTTGCATTGACTTGTTACTAAAGGATCTGTTCTTGTGACATCCCTACATATCATAATGCTGCAGAAAGAAAAAAGGAGCTTTAAATGCCTTTACTGTTTGAAAATAAAATCACTCTTCAGCTCCACAAGCTTAATATCTCTGATTTCTGGTGCAAATAATGAGGAAATACCTGTAGATTATTGTTGTTTGATTTTGTGATAAAATCTGGAAAACTGCTTTGCATTGAATATTTGTTTTTATTCCACAGACAACAGACATCTAAATGTTTATGAGCAGGACTAACCAAAAGCTGGTTTGAGTTATTCTGGAGACCCCCTGAGGTCGCAAGGCAAGTGTATTCATATAGCACCTTTCAACATTTAAGGCAATTCAAAGTGCTTTACAAAAATATAAAACATTAAGAGCATTAAGGAATAGTGCAGCAGAATCACATTAGAAAATGACACTTAAAAACAGTAATTTATAAAGCAAAGAGAATAGAATAAAACAAGGGTAACATATAACATACATGAAAAAAGTTACATTACAGTTTATTATATGAATAGTTCAATTAAAAGCAGCGGCAAAAGAAAAGTCTTCAGCCTGGATTTAAAAGTAGTAAGAGTGGCAGCGGACCGGCAGGTTTCTGGGAGTTTGTTCCAGATGTTTGGAGCATAATAACTGAACTTCTCCATGTTTAGTTCTAACTCAGTGGACACAAAGCATACCAGAAGACCTGAGAGATCTGGACGGTTCATAATTTAGCAGTAGGTCAGAAATGTATTTTGGGCCTAAACCATTCAATGCTCTATTAACCAGCAACAATATTTTGAAGTCTTTGACGGACAGGAAACCAGTGTAAAGACTTCAGAACTGGAGTGATGCGATCACTACTACAATCTAGGGCTGCTCAATTAATCGTATTTTAATCGCAACTACGATTTTCGCTTGCAACGATTATGAAAACAACATAATCGAAATAAAACGATTATTTTATTTTTTATTTTATTTTTAATTGTTTTTTCAGTTGAATTATACTTAAAGTTCAGGGTAATCAACTGTTAAAAACATACTGTTCACATTTTTCTTTTCAATAAATGGATGTTTTCAAAGTAAATGGATAATCGTTTTTTAACAATCGTGATATCAATTATTGACCCAAATAATCGAGATTATGATTTTTGCCATAATCGAGCAGCCCTACTACAATCACACTGCTCAAGTTTTGATGACTTGAGAATGTTTTTCTGCCAGAATTATCTTTCCAGGTTTCCTAAAATTAATCTTTTAAACATGCCGAGGATAAAAGGTTTTGCAAGGTAAAAAAGTGTGTGTTGTTGTAATGCTCATTTTAGCAACAAGAGGCCAAAGGGCACCACTACCCCATTTTCTAATTGGGATTAAAAACACTTCTTCCGGATACATTTACATTTTTTCATGTACATGAACTGTGTCTTAGCAAATTGTGTAACATTTGCATGGTTGTAATGTTACAACCACAGTTTCAGCTAGCATAAAGCTTTTCTTTCCAAGCAAACCAAAAAGTCATAAAGACAGTAGAGAAATCATTTAAATGTTATGGCTCATTTCCACCGCAGGCCTCGCTCGACTTAGTACGGTTTTGTTATGCCTTGTTAGGCCCAGCTCACTTAATGCTGCGCTTCCATTACAGTTTAGGAACTCGGGTAGTATCTATAGTAACGCAGTATAGGCGGCACCGTGACGTCATCTTCAATGAGCACCCCAGAAAAACAACATCAGCCGTTAGCTGTTAGCACTCAAGCTCACAGCTCCTCATATCTGTTCAGAAACTAGACAAAAGACAAAACCACGATTTTTGGCGCATTTCCACCATGGCGCGGAGCGCGGTTTAAGCGTGCCGTGTCGTGCCGGGCCCGTTTTTGGTTGCGTTTCCACTATGCCTAGTTCCGGCCCGGGGCTACTTTTTCACCTTTTTTCCCGACAAAATCGTGGTTCTATCGGGGCCAACAAACAGGGCTGAGTCGGGCTGAGTTTGCTAAACTAGAGAGAGAATACAATACAACAAGATGAACATATTTGACCGTGATTTCATTGTAATACACGTTTCAAAATGATGCCGAAGTAACAACATACTGATACCGGTTAGTAAAAACCATGAATTAATGCTTTGACAAGTCTGCAGACAGACGGCAGGCGAAAAACCTTTTAAAATGCGCATTGTCTAAATGGAGATCGGCTAAGCTAACGCAATATATGCTCCGACCGTCCACACTCACAACAACGGCCTATACAGACATAAATAAAGCAGCGACTGTATTCGCCATGACACAGACAGTCTGTGGTTTGTACTTGTTTAACTTTTGTCAAGTTTCTGAACATATATGAGGAGCTGTGAGATTGAGTGCTAACAGCTAACGGCTGATGTTGTTTTTCTGGGGTTCTCATTGAAGATGACGTCACGGCTCCGCCTACACTACGTTACTATAGATACTACCCCAGTTCCTAAACTGTAGTGGAAGCGCAGCATTAAAGTGAGCTGAGCCTAACAAAACCGTACTAAGTCGAGCGAGGCCTGCGGTGGAAATGCGCCATAAGTCGGGCCAGAAAAAAGGTGAAAAAGTAGCCCCGGGCCGGAACTAGGCATAGTGGAAACGCAACCAAAAACGGGCCCGGCACGACACGGCACGCTTAAACCGTGCTCTGCGCCATGGTGGAAATGCGAATACTTTCCTCTCCGGCCTTTGTTCCTACAAAATAAAAGCCTGTAAACATTCCATTAATTCACTGAATGCTAAACTTGTATATTTGGAAAGATAGTAGTGACTGCAGTTTATGAAAATAATGTGTGATTGGTGGTGTATAAAGTAAAACAGAAAACAATCAAATGTTTGTTTTATATTTGAAACTAGACACAGCGCTGAAAGGAAACACAGCACCACTCCTCAGTCAGAGAACTGTTGATCTCTTTAATCAGGAGGCAGCTGTTCCATCTATTGAGCCGCAACTATAGAGAGACAGATTACTTTATGAATCCCAATAGGAAATTGGGATTCATAACTTCTAGGAATTTTTTCACAGATAAACAAGAGTTCTAATTAGCCAAACACCACGGGAGATAATGAACATTAAAGTTCTTTATTAATAAAATCATTCCCCTAAAACTATAACCTGTCGTTTTTAACACAGTGGCAGCAGGAAGACCTGCACATATGCCTTCATAGTTAGAAATACTGCTACATTTTAGAATAAACATATAGAGGTTATATTAAAATAAAGAAATATTAAATTGAAATTACTGGATTATACCAAAACATGTGCCATAAATAATATGTCAAAATATATTTTTAAACTAAAATAGGAAATATTTTTCTATTAAATGTAACATACGTTTTAAATTCTACAAATTATTTCAATTAAATGTTTTTAAAAATGCAGGAAAAATACATGTTGGAATATCCCTTTAAAATTAAAGAAATGCAATATTTGTATCAGATTACATTTGCATAGTTGAATGATTCATTTCTGAGAGTATGGAGACATATTTATGTATAGTGATCTTTTTGTGATATCTTTTTTAATTTTCTGAGGATTTCTCCACTTGGTTTCTGGAAACCACTTTCTGATGGATTTGATATTTAATTTAAATTGCTGCTCTTTAATCTTATTACTGTTGTCAAGGAGACAGAGCTCTCCCATAATGAGTAATTACTTTCAGACAGGTTAACCATAGATTGATAATATCATTAAAAGCCTTCTTATTTTGGAGGAGGATGATGTATTGCACTGTAATGGCGAACATTGTATTAATAATTAAGAGCTACACTTAGAAAAACATAACATTTATTTTCATTTAATCTCAACTCCCCACCAATCTGTATTGTTTTATTAATATCTTTTCTGCCTCACACCTGTCATGTTCCTCCTTTTAGAAGTGGGATTAGAAAAGCCAACACAGCAGTTGTTCAGCAGCCAGACACACGCCGCCGTCACGTGAGCCCTCAAAATAGAACTAATTGATTTCTGGATTGATTAGTTGTAGTTTTTTTAATAAACGCCTAAAGTTGAAGACCACAATATCCAAGGCATTTTGTTCCCCTGCAAACACTATTCAGTGGAAATCAAAAATGAAATTGCAGTATGCGAAACATGCGGGTCGGATTTGGTGAAGAGCGCTTTATGGCGACTCAGAATTCTGTCTTTAATCTCAGAGCTCCAAAAGAAAAATTCACATGTGGCCCTTTTTCTGTTCAGTAGAATTTAGCTGTTTTATTTCTTAATATTGCTCAAAATGTGGTAGTTCTTTTTAAAATGTACTTTCAATTTTTATATAAAAGAATTGCCTTTGATCAATTGTCGTATGTCGAATTCGAAATGTACATCGGTGGCTCATGAATCGCCCGGATTCGTTGGGGCGATTCATGAGCATAAAAATTGGTATAAAATAATGGATCACAAAAAAAGATATCAAAAATATGATACTGAATACTACGTGGGGACAGTACATGCAGACCAAAACAATGGAAACACAACAATTGTATACAACACATTACCAAAAACAATACCTTCTATTATATGTGCAATTCATTTGCAACAGTGAATTACATTTAGTGCCCTGATAAAAAGTTTATTGTCACACAATGCACAATCACCACAACACCTTTCATTCACAGCTTAATTAGGCGAACATAAACAGAGAGAGCAAAAACTAAACTTCATTTTGATTCATCTTTTAAAAATACTTCCATTATTTGAAGTATTTGGATTAACTTCAGTATCACATGTTTTGTATTACTTCTTGCTTTTACAAATTGTGAATTACTTAATATCTGCTACAATAACTGCAACAAAATAATACTAAATATACAGTGGTACCTTTATACAGTCTAAGAGTAGTAATACTGAATTCTACAGGTTTAAGTCTGTTGTACAGAATTGGGGCACAGCTCACATTGTGGTGGATTCAGACATGACAAAAACACAAACGATAGAAACACTTAAAAAACACAACATAACATCACACAACATCTTCTATTATGTTCATCTTATCACTACCTTACACGAACAGCCCTAATAGAGAAGTGGGGTACAGTACAGACATATATTTGATTTTCATATGAAACACCTTTGGTGTCACAGCTTCATTTTCACTTGTAAACTGAACAAAGTGAGACCTAAACTGCATTTTGATTGACAGCCTGAGTTATCTACAAGCCTCCCACACTCAGCCCCTCGTGGGACGATCAATTGAGCCGTC